TAGTGCGCTCCATTCATCTTCAGTCGAGGCCTGCTTCTCTTGGCAAACGGAATTTAACGACTGAATCACGGATTGCACCTAAAATAATCAATAAAGAGCAAATTGTCATTATCTTTTATTTTCAGTAATTTCATTCAATTTTTCAAACCTGGCAAATGGGAAAATTGACGGAACCGCGATTTTGCAAAATGTGGGTGAGTAACAGATTTGCTACTAATTAACATGCCGTATATTCAGTGTTCGTGAGAGTAACCTGGTGGGCTTGACTGACTTGTCTCTATCTCAAACGGCAGGAATTTTCGGCACTAGATTCATTTCTCCAATGGTTCCAAAACCAGGCAAGAGTCTTCTAGCGGACGTTTTAACTTAAACAGACTCTAGAGTGATGCGCGCAATAGCTTGTGGGAAGCAAGAGCGAAGACTGCTATTTCTATTTAATGACAAAGGCAGTGCCAAGAATCCACCAAATTTATCATTTCAGGCGTTCTCTTTTTCCTCGTCCCAGCGAGATAAGAGCCTAGAATAATTATTGAGTATCCAGTATCAAGAAATGGTTCAATAAGTCTTGACCGAGAAGAAACTTGTTACTTTACTTAAAAAACAAAAAGCGCGCAAAAAAACTGTTACTCTTAATCCTGCAAGCAACAGGTAAATGCACTGATTCAGTTATAAAACGTTATACATGTAATCATAAGTACTATCATACCAACATTGCTTCTACATGCAAATTGTCATTTTACCTTCTTGAACTGTTTCTCGTCGGCCCAGGACTTGAATTCCTTTTTTACGTCGTGCTCGTATTGTCGAGCATGACTCTTTTGTATCAACTTTTTGTCCAGGAAATATTGTTCTGGAGAAAGTTTCTGCAAAAAGACGTTCACCAAACATAGTTGAAATGAGGCAAACAACAAACCTCTGCCGTCTGCATTTGCTGTAAATAGATAATTTTTTCTAGTTTTGTTTTGGATTGATCTTAAGGATAAAGAGAAAAGACACCCAATTCAGAAAAAGCAATTTTTACCGTTTGCCGTAAATTTAATTGCTGAAACGTCTTAGAGCGGTTTTTAAGTGAGTGTCGAAAGTAATTAATTTGGTTTTGGTTTTACCACGGATTCATATTGGTTGAGTAGTCTACTTGGTAAGTAATTAGTCTGGTTTTACACTCAATAGAAAACCGCTCTATTTTCAGTTAATCAGTCAGAAAATTATTTATTATTCTAGCTTTTATAGGATTTACACCTGTTGAATTGACCGCTGACCTGCATGGATTCTTTGTCGGGCCACTCCTTAACCATGACGTCATACAGTTGCAGAGTTTCTCCAGGTGTAAGAGCCATATCACCTGGAAAACCATTTTCCAGCAGCTGTTTTATTAAGAAAAAATAGGTTACTAACAAAGTTATGCTGTGGATCGTTGGAGCTAAATCTTATTAATCACCCCAATAAATTAATTTATCAAGTAATTAATTACTGCGTTGCTCTAATCAATTGAAGCTGACGTGGAAAGTGACTCATTATAAACGAAAAAATATTGATGAACTGTTCTAGGTTTCCTAGGCATGGAAAAGTTCTTTTCTATAGCTTTTTACTCAATCGATTGCCATAAATGTTTGATTCTGATACCTTACCTGTTTGGGTCCAAGCTGGGCACATGGATGAAGTCCCACAAACTCTCCTGAGTTTTTAAGTTCGTATTTATTCTCGTATGTCATCGTCTCTTCGGAAAGATCACCGTTACTGGGACTTGGAAGGTACACGCTTTTTTCCAGATCTGAGTATCGCTCTTCGCAAGTAACTTGAAAACAGTCACAAAGCAAATTAATTTAGAAGTCCATGAGCGAGAGCACACCAAACATGTATAAATTACCCAGGGAAATGA